CAAATACTTTGCGAAATAGGAATTGCACATCCATATTAAGTGGCTGAAGTGAAGCAATCAGAAGCAACGATTCAATGGCTTCATCCTTTAGACTGTCCAGAAACTCACCAGTTATACCCGTAAACATAATATGGCAATATTGCTGATACTCGACATGGAGTAAAAGTATTTTCGAAAGTGTAGGTAAAACTGCAGAACAGAGACTGGGTATTTGTAGACAATACCAGTCTCGGAACTGATGGAAAATCACGTCGCAATAATCACTAAGCTCTTCTGCTCCATGATAGTTGGCTCCATGATAGTTGGCTCCTTGCTTATTATCTCCCTGATTATCTAATGCTTGGTTATCTAAGATTTGATTATCAGCTACTTGATTACTCAACTCGTTATTACTTAACCCAATACTCGTTGATTTTTCTGCCATGGTTTTGGAATTAATCGTTGCTTGACGGATACATCGTCTCATAGCGATATCTTCATATATTGCAACAACATGTTCCATGACAATTGATTTCTCATTAGGGACACACATGATTGCTACAATGCTATCAAGCAATATGGGTTCATTCAGGAGTCTTAGAATCTTCAGCTTCATAATCGTATTTGCAACAGACTCGGCGTATTTAGGGATGAGCCATACCCAATATTCTTTAAAGACCTTTATGAACGAAGGATCTAAGCAAATGGAATGGTCGGAATCAATAGAGGGTCGGAACCAAGTGAGGTGAGGGTCGGAACCAAGTGAGGTGAGGGTCGGAACCAAGTGAGGTGAGGGTCGGAACCAAGTGAGGTGAGGGTCGGAACCAAAAGTGAGGGTCGGATTACGCAATCGACAGATATCGTATAGAAAGAGGAGAATACTATAGTTGAGAGAATGGGTAATGATAGATGGTGCTGCCCTTTGCATAACGGAGAGAGTTATTGGTAAGGTTTTCCAGTCCTGGGTATCTTCACCAGCACATTTTTGGAGATGGTGTCTATTCTTGATCAGTGATAGAATGCACCGAATTGTAGTCTACAGAACAGCCTGTTGGATCTTTTATTCGAGTGTTGCCAGCTCGGGCTTGTATGGGTTTGTCTTACGATAATAAGAGATGATGAAGTAGTGCATAGGTATGGTTCCAGAGTGTCGATAAGACCCAGGAATTCTTCATCCGATTGCGGAACATAAGTACTAAGTGTCGATAATATGACGGTCTTCTCAAATGTGTTACATTGATGCAGAATGTTAAACAGCATTACAATGTTCTTTCGACTCAATTGATACCCTCCTTGCAGTTCATTTAACACAAGCAAACTAGTTACTAACACTTGAGTGCTTGTATTTGTATCGTTAATGAACGAAATCAATTTAGAGATCATCTCAGGCTCATTACCTTGAGATAGTTTGCTAACACCAATCACCGCATAGTTACGAACATACGTACTAGTGTCGTTAAGACCGTTTAGTATTGCCGCCTTTGAGTACTCTTCGACAGAATCTACTCGTAATGATGTCAATGCCTTCAGGGCCATACCACGAATCTTTGGTGAGGAATCCAACAAATCCTTCTGATAAGCATTGATAACTAAAATTGACGTTTCCGGATTACTCTCTGCATAATGATTCAAATATATGCTAACCAACTTCTTCTGAATAATATCCGGAGTCACACTCGCCAATACCACCTCCGGAAATAAAGAACTGACGTCTATGCCTAGACTCATATAAGCCAGTAAACGCTTTAGTGTCTCACGCCGCTTTTCCGTATTCTCAGGCTTTATCTCGCTCGGTAATGCGCGAAACAACGCGCGCAATTCAGAGACCTCATTCCTCTTCTGTGATACGAAAAATCGAGCTGGGGCTCTTTCAACCCGCATTTCAGACATGCCTGGTCAAAAAAATTCAAACCAGCAATTTGTCCACTTCCATTTTGCAAAAATACCGCGCGGAAAAAGCCGACCGCAACGCGGCCGCACGTGTGTGCAAACACGCGGCGCGAACGATATCTAACTGGGGGTAAATCTTAAGCCAGCATTAAGCGAGGCTCGTCACGTCCGAGGGAAACACCCAGGAAGATGTGGGGATCATGGAGATCAATAAGGTCTAGCCCGAAGATGGTTGTATACTTGACGTACGGTCCGAATTTAATCAACTCAAGAGCTGCTGCAGCCAAGATTGCTGCAGGGGTGAAAAGTGAAATTTACGAAATGGCTTTGGCTGAAAGGACATCCATGTCTGCGTAGATCCTGACTTGCGCACCTTCTATACCCAATAGCTCGTTGTCTATTCCGGGTACATCACTCCTACATATTAAATTGAGAGTTGGACGAGGCATCATAGGCCCCTTGCAGCAACTGCTCTCAACGGCGCAACTCAGGTCCATGACATCCACGTCTGGACCTGAGTTGCGCCGTTGACGCTTCATGGAACCTTGCAATGGTATGCCGCTTCGACTTGAGTCGACAAGGACTCGCCGGTGACTGGTTGGGCACTGACAAGCTGGTATAGCCGGTTTACTGTTTGATAAGTTACTCGTAGTGGAGCAGTTGGTCAGCCAATTGACTTGGTCGCCAATTGACTTGGTCGCCAATTGACTTGGTCGCCAATTGACTTGTCGCCAATTGACTTGGTCGCCAATTGACTTGGTCGCCAAGTGATTTGCCGCCAATTGATTTGTCGCCAGTTGTCTTGTCGTCGAATAGTGGACAGTTGCTGATTGACTAACGTGTAAGGTAGCTACAATTTGTTAGCAGCAGCGACCCGATTGTGGCTAGCGGTGTCAGCTAGCCCGGCAGGGAGTTTTGTGAGAAGCATTCCTGAGATTTAGGTCGTTGCTCACATCGGTATGAAGATAAGAAGACCTTCTAGAGTAGGACATCTATCCTTCGGGGAACTTAAAGTCCGGGTTGATTATGAACTCGTCACCGATAAAGCAGTATGTGATCAGATGTTGGTTCAGCCATTTGCGACAGAAATCAACCTTCTTCTTAAATAGATCGTAGCATTTATTGCATTTTCGGAGTGTGTGGCAAGCGTGATGATTGACAGAAATAGCTTCAAACATCTTCTCGGCGACAGGTAGGACCTGATCGCGGAATTTGTCATTGCTGAGAATGCAAGTTCGACTGCGTCTCATGGCGTAGTATAGCATGTATGAATCATCATAGTCCCCATTCGGAGTTACCTCCAGCATACCCTGGGCACGCAACAGCTGTAGTTGCAAATCGGAATTTTTGGTTGCATGTATCTGAGGACTCAAGTAGTATTCTGGCACGACGCAGACCGGGACTAATCCCAATCGTGTGCACTCCTTGGCGGCCTTCAGAACACCTTGCACGTCAAAAACTTTGGTCCGATACTTCTGCTTGCCGTAGCCGATCCCGACATTGGCAACATCTATGATCACCGTTGACGGACTTCGCTTCTGCTGCAGCGACAGAGACCGCGTCCTACGCGGGGGTAACAAGGGGTAGGGAGTTTCACGATATAATTTTTCTGTCCCGGTTCGATGACTTTGCTCAACACCCTCCCGGCTCGGATTTTGCTCCAGATTCCGACTCGATTCCCGACTCCCATCTCTCGTTTCGTATAAACGAAGGAGTTCATGTAGTAGTCCTCCCCGACGTTCGCGTTCGAAGTTCCGTTCATCCGCTTCTCCCGTTTGGTTATGTAACCTCAACCTGGACAAAGACAAGCACTCAGGGATAATGGACATCAAGAACTCCATACCTTCTGCTTGGACGCCCTCAAGGGCCACTGGAATGCTCCCCTCACCGTGCTGCTCCGCTCGTTGTCTTTCCCGTGGCTCTCTTTCCGGTCCTTCCCCCTCCCTGTCCGGTAACTCCTGGTCACATAAATCCATTTCGAGCTGCTGCCCCCCTTCGGGTTGTTCCCTTTGATTGTTGAACCGCCACGGGTGTCTCGCACAAAGACCCGAGGGTTGTTGCTCCGCATTCCGCAGTTGGAGACCCCAATCGATTTGCAAGAGGCCTCTGCAGGTGGGAGACTCATTCAAGTCTTCACTCGTGTGTGTAAAATACCACCGGTCTTCCGGCAGGGCCACATCCATGTACGGGGCTTCCAGGGTTGAGTCCAAGCCGAGAAAAGCACATGTCCTATGGATCTCCTGCACCAGGCGTATAGACTCAAATCGTCGATGCTGCTCAGTGATTGCATCCAAAGACAGAAAGGGGCAGTCCACACCGTGGTTTACACCCACGGGATTTACACCCTCGTGGTGGTTCATCCTCACTTCCTTGTGGCTTACCTCCTTGTAGCTTACCTCCTTGTGGCTTACCTCCTTGAGGCTTACCTCCTTGTAGCTTACCTCCTTGTAGCTTACCTCCTTGTGGCTTGCCTCCTTGTGGCCCACTCCTCTTGTATTCCGGTTGGTCATGCCCTTGTGCTTGACGCCGTCGACGACAGGCGTCATGCCGACGCCCGAGTCGCGGGACAAAATCTCTTCGTGACGAACCCTCTTGCGCTTGTTCACGCGGGACGAAAGGCCGCGCGACGTCGACGTTCGTGTAGACAATGATCCTCGGGACAAAGCTCCTTCTGTCAGGTCGACGTAACAACTACAAACCAGGTCGCGCGAAAGGTGGTTTGGCCGATCCACGACCAGGTCCTCTAACAGGTAGTCATTTTGGATCAGATAGTAAATACCGTTTAACGAGCAATACAATAAACTAGGTGATTCAGCACCATGCTGAGCCATAGTGCGCAACAAGCGTCGAAGACAAACACCCAGCGCCAATCGCTTCTGTTTCTTGCTGTCGTTCTTCTCACTTGTTACCGCACTGCTCATGCATGCACAAAGTAAACAAGGAAGGATCGTAAAAAATAGTAAGTCCTCATCTTCCTTGAGCTCCACAGTCAACGACTCTTCATCCTCCATTTGTTCGCCTTCCTCATCCTTCCCACGTTGCTGCTCCCGCTTCTCACAATCTTCCTCCCTGTAAACCTGGATGGCTTTATTCTGCACTGTATAACCGATTTGGTTAAGGTGGGTTGCTGATTGTTCCTGGACCGTGAAATCGTCAGCAGGCGAAGTCATAGGGTCGGCAGTTACACGGTCATGGTGCTGTGCGTCGTCATGCTCGTCCGTAGTCTCCATTTTTATGGGCTGTGGGACAGGTTCAACCTCTACTCCTAGATCGACGAGATTTATGTCAGCGAGTCCGACATCGGCAAGCTCTATGTCGGTAAGTCGCAGGTCGGCATATCCCGTTCCGCTCCGTCCTAGACAGCTGCGTCCTAGACAGCCCTTCCCGGATTCCTTTGAGGAAGTATCTTTGGATGAAGTGTCTTTCGAGGAATCGTCTCTAGTAGACGTGTCGCGCGAGGAAGGGGTGGTATCGCCCTGCTTGGATCGCGAAGGAGAAGAGTCGCCATGAGAGCGAAGCCCGGTGCCTTCTGACGATGACGAGTGGCTTCGAGAATCCGCCATTTGGTCGCTGTCGTGGAGAGGTCTTTGACAGAGCGCATCCAAGTTTGCGCACACCTGGTTGATTTTGGAGCCAACCAAATCTGTGTCCACATTGGCGACGACAAGATGAATGAACTCTACTAAAGAACGCGCATAACTGCAGTGAGCAGGAGTATCCAGTTCCCCGGGACAATGGTGCGCAGACGAGCACACCAGGTTCCAACGACGGTCAAATTTGTGGTCAGATGCTGGCACGGCTCCCCGCAACCTACAACGGAACGTCTCCGCTGGTGTAGGAGGCTCATCCAACGCCTTGATGGTACTTGCTAAGAACAACATTACGCTTTCCATACTCATATCATACACACCCACACCATCAATTTGACGAAACAAGATCCACAGGTATATCAAGGGCCACAACCCCCCTATGGCATCACCCCCTGTAGGCTCACCCCCCGTGGGCTCACTCCCTGTAGACCCACTCCCTGTAGGAAGTTCTCCAGCGGAGCCATTGCCTTCGCGCGCTCGAGGTCCAACCTGGCTCGGCGGGTGTTGGCTCGGTGGATGTTGCTGGGCGTGTTTTAGTTCACCCGTAAAGAGGCAGATGCGGGACAACTCGGAAGCCAACGATGCATTGAGCGTTAAGTAATGGGAGCCGCCTCTCAGATGAATCCGATTGTCTTGTAGCGGCAGTTCTCGGATATCGACGAAGTTGACATCGCCTTGGGCGATGCTGCGCAAGCCGACTCTCCGAATGGAATCCAGAAGACCATCGTGGCTGGAAGCCGTGAAGGACGTCTGGAGGTAGAGGCGTCGCAGTGCTTCAAGACCCGCGCCGCCAAGCGGGTCGGCAAAGATGCTTTGCCATATCCACTCCTCCGCAAGCAGCCGGTCGACTTGAGGACAATCGGGCAAGCACGTCAGAGCCGCGTCGAAAGCACCCGAGACACGAACCGGGGGCTTTTTACGCGGTCCTTCCGGCGGCCCGCCAGCAGCAGCACCGCCGTTGCGGCGGCACTTCCCCTTGAACGTCTTCCCACGAGGGGAAGCTGCCCGAGAAGTCGTAGCCCGAGAAGTCGTAGCCCGAGAAGTCGTAGCCGGAGAAGTCGTAGCCCGAGAACTCGTAGCCCGAGAACTCGTAGCCCGAGAAGTCGAAGCCGCGTTATTGGAGCCGCCACACGTTCTCCGCACGTAGTTAAGCACGTATCTGAAGCTGTAAACGTATCCGATGCATGCTGATAAAGCTGCAAGAACTTTCCGGTCAGTGGAACCCCGACAGGCGAGGATGGCGTGCAGTTCCGCGAGTGCTGCAGTTAACTGTGTCATCAGCTGATTGGTGCAGTCGGTTTCGCCAGTGGATACCAGCTGCTTCTCACAGGTCCCGACTTGCTCCCAGAGATCGTCCAGGAAGTAGTTGAGTATCTAACACACATATATGAAACTGTAGACATTCATACCTGGAATACGCACTCACTAACACTGTTGATATTGTTGATCAAATTGGTAGGGGACCTCTTCTTCGATACCAAGATCATACCAGGTGGCAACAACGGCATAATTATAAATTGAGGAAGGGCTCCTTTTTAGTTCGCATCTCATCTCCACAACAGAAAACCATGTATGCGTGGCAGGGGACCATACATGAGAGGGGATCATGGATGAGAGGGCGGGAACATGGATGAGGGTAAGACATAAGGTCACGACATAAGGGCAGAACATGTGTGCTAGTTTTCGTTTGGGGGGTTGGAGATGTTTATTAGTGGTTGTTGGGTTCCGAAAATATGGGCGCGGATGGCTTGTCGCGGGCATTATTGGATGGTGTGCGAGACCTGAAGGGTGCTCGAGAAGCGTTTGAGCGAGGCGACTTGGAGTATTCCAAAGAATGTCATAGTCATCCGGCAGATGATCATCGGACACACACGGAAGCACACATGACGGCAGGTGGTAGTGTAGTACGTTCAGTAGTGTTTGGGGGCTTGGATGGGATCGTAACAATGTTCGCATTGTTGGCAGGTTGCATGGGTGCAGAGACGACGGTGTTACAGACGGTGACGATAGGTGTAGGGAATTTGATAGCGGACGCGTTTGCAATGGGCTATGGTGAGTACGTTAGTTCAAAGGCTGAAGAAGAATACGTAGAAGGCGAAACCAAAAGAGAAAAATGGGAGATGTATCATTACCCTGAGGGTGAACGGAAGGAAATGATGACTCTCTACATGGAGAAGTATGGCTTCACAGCCCAGGATGCCGAATTCTACGTCGATATAGGCATGCAATACCCAGACTACTTCTTACAACACATGATGTTTGAAGAACTGGGGCTTACACTCACCGACTCATCCACCAGTCCTCGCATCACCGGGACCGTCATGTTCCTCTCCTTTCTCTTCCATGGGCTCGTCCCACTCGGAGGCTTCCTACTCTTGTCTTACTTATTGCCTAATAACAAGCATGCCTTTTACGGAACCTGTGCCATGACCATCTGCACCCTTCTGGCACTAGGCTACGTCAAAGCGAAGCTCTCGGGACAGCCAAAACTCAAGTCAGCTCTAGCCATGGCCGCAAACGGAGCCATCGCCAGTACAGCAGCATACGCTGCATCCAGCACACTCAAGGTAAGCACACACCCGCACTCTACAACACTCGTTCCTCTAGACACTCACCTCGTGACCCTGCTCCTGCATGATGGTCTGATCCTGCATGATGGCCTGATCCGACAATGAGTTATCGACTCGGGGATTGGCTTAGTCACAATCGGCTTAGTCGATTTTTTTAGTGGATACCACCAATCACGATACCGCAATAATAATCTTGAACACTGTCACTAACATCCTGTCTGTCCTGGCATGCTGTCTGTCCTGGCATGCAGTCTGTGGCAACACACTGTCCCGGTCACGTCTAGCTAGGGTCCCGTACGGACTGCAAACGAGGGTCGTGGGCTGGGCGGGGAAGGGCTTGCGGGTGGCTTGGACGACGAAAAAGAGAGTGCCTAGGTTCTGAAGATGTAGGGGAGGGGCTGTGAGGTTGCGATGCTTGTGATGGGGTTGACAGGTCGGACAAACTGTTGTTCGTACAGCAGTAGACAGGAGTTGTGTTGCCAGTCATATTGCTCCTTGGAGGTGACCTGGGGCGAAATGATCATGTCATCGCAGGCGAACCAGTCCGCTCCGCGTTTGGCGTAGGCAGTGTAGTGGCCATCGTTGAAGTTGCCATAATGGCACACAAGTCCCTTGAGGGCATATGAGTGCCGTTCTAATAGTTCCACGTCCCAGTGAGCCATGCAGGCGTCAGTTAGCCATTCTTGGTTAATAGTGAGGAGTTGTGGGAGAACTATGGGTGCGGTATTTTTGCTAATGCAAAATGTATGGGGGTCGTAAACGGTCCTCTGTAGCTGTATTAGGAGTACAGGTGGTAAGACATCGATTTTGGAATTATTCGTTTCTAGCGTGTTTTCGATCAGTTCCTCCAGGCTGTCTTTATTTCCGTTCATATATAACATAAGGATGTTAAATGGCTCGCTGTACGTCTTGTTGTTTGGCAATGCCGATATGATCCGTCCCTGGAATAAAGTTCGGAACATGTTAACCGTGGTCTTGCCGGCGGCCCCTTTACCGGCGGCCCCTTTACCTGGTCCATTACTGGCAGACATTGTCTTGATGCCTTTGCCGGACTTTCCAATGCGACTAAAAGAATCATTAGACTCAAATGTGAACTCCTTGAGCTCCATCAACTCATCCAAAATGTGGCCCGTAAATTCCGCCGCATCTTGCTGGTCTCCCGTGCTCAAGTGCTTGTTGCGGTCTGTCAGGTTGAAAACCTCGCCACCCGACCACCGACCGCCGTCTGGGGGACCACCATCATCCATTCCGCCGTGAATACACTGTTCCAAATAATCCAACAAAACCTCAAGCATGGACGACTTGTCACCCTTATACATCACCGGCACAATCTTGAGCAAGACAGTGACAAAATAATGCGACGATAACAGAACTTGGAATACAGAAGCGGCAAAACACAAATTTAACGATAAGTGATTATATATACCTAGTGGAATAGGGCACTACAAGATACGCTGCTGATATAATCAAACACGGGGGTGGATCCCGTCGGGGGTGGATCCCGTCGGGGGTGGATCCCATCGGGGGTGGATCCCGTCGGGGGTGGATCCCGTCGGGGGTGG